ACATCCGTTTTAAGGCATGATTTACATTTTAACAAAAACACTTCAAGGACAATAACTATATAATAATAAAAAAATCTGTAAGAGTTTTTGTGTATAATTTAGAGTATGACAAAGGAAACTTAACTCTAATACAAGAAAAATATATGAGAAATTACCCAAAAACACGCATAAAGCTACAAACACTTATAAAACCGAGAGCCAGAGTAAAAATCAAACTCATTATGTTTGTGTGTTTAAATCCAGACCCTTTGTGTACTTAAAATACAAGAGCAACTCTTGAACAACAAAGAACTATAAATTTTATACAAATACACTTGCTCTTACTCACAATCACATACATACATATATGTACAAATATTTGGGTCAGAGACATCATAATTATAATAACCATAAATACTTACACTTAAACACTGTTATAATGAAAAAAAACACACACACTTTCATATTAAAATGGCCAACTTGAAAAGAGAATGAGTTAATAACTAATGTTATTATTGTTGCTTTTGTTACAGTTGAGTAATACTTTAAATATTTGTTGTAATAAAAAAGCTCTTATTACGGGATGAGTTTAGAGCAGGATCTTTAAAAAGGTTTGTATTTGTGTTGATGCTCTTGTTATTGTTGCTGTTATTGTGTACATTTAAGTGATGTGGAAAATTAAAGTATTATTAGTGGTCGCTTGGTTGGTTTGGGCTTAAAGTGACCCCCAAATTTAGTTAATAAAATGAGGTTAGGAGGAAAATTGCTTTAAACATTACAAAAATAGTCTAGTCTATAGTCTATTCTACAGTTTAGTCTATAGTTAATCTATAGGCTAGTCCAGAGCCTATTCTATAGTCTAGTCCAGAGTCTAGTCTATAGACTAGTCCAAAGTCTAGTCCAGAGTCTAGTCTATAGTATATAGTCTAGTCTATAGTCTAGTCTATAGTCTAGTCTATAGTCTAGTCTATAGTCTAGTCTATAGTCTAGTCTATAGTCTAGTCTATAGTCTAGTCTATAGTCTAGTCTATAGTCTAGTCTATAGTCTAGTCTATAGTCTAGTCTATAGTCTAGTCTATAGTCTAGTCTATAGTCTAGTCTATAGTCTAGTCTATAGTCTACTCTATAGTCTAGTCTATAGTCTAGTCTATAGTCTAGTCTATAGTCTAGTCTATAGTCTAGTCTATAGTCTAGTCTATAGTCTAGTCTATAGTCTAGTCTATAGTCTAGTCTATAGTCTAGTCTATAGTCTAGTCTATAGTCTAGTCTATAGTCTAGTCTATAGTCTCGTAGTCTATAGTCTAGTAGTCTATAGTCTAGTCTATAGTCTAGTCTATAGTCTAGTCTATAGTCTAGTCTATAGTCTAGTCTATAGTCGTCTATAGTCTAGTCTATAGTCTAGTCTATAGTCTAGTCTATAGTCTAGTCTATAGTCTAGTCTATAGTCTAGTCTATAGTCTAGTCTATAGTCTAGTCTATAGTCTAGTCTATAGTCTAGTCTATAGTCTAGTCTATAGTCTAGTCTATAGTCTAGTCTATAGTCTATCTATAGTCTAGTCTATAGTCTAGTCTATAGTCTAGTCTATAGTCTAGTCTATAGTCTAGTCTATAGTCTAGTCTATAGTCTAGTCTATAGTCTAGTATAGTCTAGTCTATAGTCTAGTCTATAGTCTAGTCTATAGTCTAGTCTATAGTCTAGTCTATAGTCTAGTCTATAGTCTAGTCTATCCAGTCTAGTCTAGTCTATAGTCTAGTCTAGTCTAGTCTATAGTCTAGTCTATAGTCTAGTCTAGTCTATAGTCTAGTCTATAGTCTAGTCTATAGTCTAGTCTATAGTCTAGTCTATAGTCTAGTCTATAGTCTAGTCTATAGTCTAGTCTATAGTCTAGTCTATAGACTAGCCTATAGTCTAGTCTATAGTCTAGTCTATAGTCTAGTCTATAGTCTAGTCTATAGTCTAGTCTATAGTCTAGTCTATAGTCTAGTCTATAGTCTAGTCTATAGTCTAGTCTATAGTCTAGTCTATAGTCTAGTCTATAGTCTAGTCTATAGTCTAGTCTATAGTCTAGTCTATAGTCTAGTCTATAGTCTAGTCTATAGTCTAGTCTATAGTCTAGTCTATAGTCTAGTCTATAGTCTAGTCTATAGTCTAGTCTATAGTCTAGTCTATAGTCTAGTCTAGTCTAGTCTATAGTCTAGTCTATAGTCTAGTCTATAGTCTAGTCTATAGTCTAGTCTATAGTCTAGTCTATAGTCTAGTCTATAGTCTAGTCTATAGTCTAGTCTATAGTCTAGTCTATAGTCTAGTCTATAGTCTAGTCTATAGTCTAGTCTATAGTCTAGTCTATAGTCTAGTCTATAGTCTAGTCTATAGTCTAGTCTATAGTCTAGTCTATAGTCTAGTCTATTGTCTAGTCTATAGTCTGGTCTATAGTCTAGTCTATAGTCTAGTCTATAGTCTGGTCTATAGTCTAGTCTATAGTCTAGTCTATAGTCTAGTCTATAGTCTGGTCTATAGTCTAGTCTATAGTCTAGTCTATAGTCTAGTCTATAGTCTAGTCTATAGTTTAGTCTATAGTCTAGTCTATAGTCTAGGCTACAGTCTAGTCTATTGTCAAGTCTGTAGTCTAGTCTATAGTCTAGTTTAGTCTATAGTCTAGTCTAGTCTATAGTCTAGTCTATAGTCTAGTCTATAGTCTAGTCTATAGTCTAGTCTATAGTCTAGTCTATAGTCTAGTCTATAGTCTAGTCTATAGTCTAGTCTATAGTCTAGTCTATAGTCTAGTCTATAGTCTAGTCTATAGTCTAGTCTATAGTCTAGTCTATAGTCTAGTCTATAGTCTAGTCTATAGTCTAGTCTATAGTCTAGTCTATAGTCTAGTCTATAGTCTAGTCTATAGTCTAGTCTATAGTCTAGTCTATAGTCTAGTCTATAGTCTAGTCTATAGTCTAGTCTAGTCTTCTATAGTCTAGTCTATAGTCTAGTCTATAGTCTAGTCTATAGTCTAGTCTATAGTCTAGTCTATAGTCTAGTCTATAGTCTAGTCTATAGTCTAGTCTATAGTCTAGTCTATAGTCTAGTCTATAGTCTAGTCTATAGTCTAGTCTATAGTCTAGTCTATAGTCTAGTCTATAGTCTAGTCTATAGTCTAGTCTATAGTCTAGTCTATAGTCTAGTCTATAGTCTAGTCTATAGTCTAGTCTATAGTCTAGTCTATAGTCTAGTCTATAGTCTAGTCTAGTCTAGTCTAGTCTATAGTCTAGTCTATAGTCTAGTCTATAGTCTAGTCTATAGTCTAGTCTATAGTCTAGTCTATAGTCTAGTCTATAGTCTAGTCTATAGTCTAGTCTATAGTCTAGTCTATAGTCTAGTCTATAGTCTAGTCTATAGTCTAGTCTATAGTCTAGTCTATAGTCTAGTCTATAGTCTAGTCTATAGTCTAGTCTATAGTCTAGTCTATAGTCTAGTCTATAGTCTAGTCTATAGTCTAGTCTATAGTCTAGTCTATAGTCTAGTCCATAGTCTAGTCTATAGTCTAGTCTATAGTCTAGTCTATAGTCTAGTCTATAGTCCAGTTTAGTCTATAGACTAGTCTATAGTCTAGTCTATAGCCTAGTCTATAGTCTTGTCTATAGTATAGTCTATAGTCAGGTCCATTGTCTAGTCTATAGTCAGGTCCATTGTCTAGTCTATAGTCTAATCTATAGTCTAGTATATAGTCTAGTCTATAGTCTAGTATGTAGTCTAGTCTATAGTCTAGTCTATAGTCTAGTCTATAATCTAGTCTATAGTCTAGTCTAGTCTATAGTCTAGTCTATATAGTCTAGTCTATAGTGTAGTCTATATAGTCTAGTCTATAGTCTAGTCTATAGTCTATTCTATAGTCTAGTCTACTGTCTAGTATATATTCGAGTCTACATTCTAGTCTATAGGCTAGTCTATAGTCTGGCCTATAGTCTTGTCCATTGTCTAGTCTATAGTCTAGTCTATAGTCTAGTCTATAGTCTAGTCTATAGTCTAGTCTATAGTCCAGTCTATAGTCTAGTCTATAGTCTAGTCTATAGTCTAGTCTATAGTCTAGTCTATAGTCTAGTCTATAGTCTAGTCTATAGTCTAGTCTATAGTCTAGTCTATAGTCTAGTCTATAGTCTAGTCTATAGTCTAGTCTATAGTCTACTCTATAGTCTAGTCTATAGTCTAGTCTATAGTCTTGTCTATTGTCTACTCTATAGTCTAGTCTATTGTCTAGTCTATAGTCTAGTCTATAATCTTGTCTATAGTCTAGTCTATAGTCAGGTCCATTGTCTAGTCTATAGTCTTGTCTATAATCTAGTCTATCATGTAGTCTATAGTTTAGTCTATTGTTTAGTCTATAGTGTATTGTCTAGTCTATAGTCTAGTCTATAGTCTAGTGGTATATACATACACATATAGTATGGAAAAACCTTTAAAAAAACACTTATTTTGCTATAAACCCTGTTTGAGTAAATTTTGATAAAAGTACCAAATCAAGGCGTTAAAAATTATCTATATTTTTCATCACTTTATTTTATAAGGCTCAACACTTTATCATCCATTTTAATTTCCGTTACAATTTTGTTGATATTAGATTTATTTTAACAGGGAAATTCGTATAATATCCTGGCTGCATTTATATATTTTTTTCCCATCCCTCTAAGCTAATTTATATATTGAAATATTTACTCAGTAAGGATTTAGTCGCTAGAACTGACACGTCTCCTTGGCCTCATAAATAAATTACAATTACAGTAATGAAGCACAAACAAACTGTTAAAGTAAGAAGTATTATACTTACATACACTTATATAAAGGAACCAAATATTCAGCGATACATTTTGTTAGGTTTGTTTGTAAGTAGTCAGTAGCTTCTTTTTAGAGGCATCAAACTTGTGTGTAATAAACGTCAAATATTTCATTTATTATGGCACGTGATTTCCCTGACTGTCTGCCATAATATAATAACAATAATAATAAGTATAATTTTCAAGAAAAAATTATAATTTGTATTGTTTTGTTTGATTTCTTTTCTTTTCATGGTTTTTTGCTTTTCGAAATGCGGCATTTTTCAAAAAAAAAAACGTGACTTTTGGTTGAATGTTGCTTTTTTACCAACAACAGTGTCGTGTTTTACTCAATCTACGCACTTCTCAGCCATTTGAAGAAGTACTGGAAGATTTGGGTCAAGTACTGAAAATTAATGGCGCCAAGAAAATGTATACGGGCACAGGACAAGAGGTAAACTGGCGAATGAGAAGATAATTACAAAAAATAAATTAACAACAATTTAATTTTATTTAATTAATTAAATATTTTTAGGTACGCAGTTTCTCCCAATTGCGCAATGAATTTGCCGATGTGGATACTTTTTATTTGGCCACTGGTACTGCTCTAATTGCCGGCTCTCCTATAAGACGTTCAAGGTCCAGGCCCTCGGTAATGGCGGCCGCTCCTATTTTACCAACAGAAGATCTTCCAAAGGTTCCTTTACGTGGTGCTAGACCACGCAGTAAAAGTCGTCCTCGCATATTATATGCTCCTGAAAGTGAAATATTACGCACAAATGGTGAATACACCATGTTGGATATGATGAAAGAGGATCCCACCAAAGTGACTATAAGGGGTCTACGAAGAACATTCTATCCACCAGCACATCATGCACCAGCTGATAATACACCACCAGATAAGAAACTACAATTACAGTGGGTGTAAGTAATAGTAGTTAATTTTTGTTTAGAAAAAATTTTTTTTAAATAATTTTTTTCACGTAACAGAAAATTTTTTAAAATATTTGTTTTACATTTTCTGAAATATTAAAGTGTTTTGAGTAGAATTTAATTAAAATTTTCAAAATCGCTTAAAAATTAACCAAGTTATAGGGAAAATTGTAAAATAAGTCATAATTAATATCAATCATACGTACTGTAGTCAAATTAAAGAAAATTTAAATAATCTTTAGAATTTTTGAGAAATTCCAAGAAAAAAGTTTAGAAATGGCAACATGACAAAATTATTTATTATAGTACAAATCTAAAATTTCTTAAAATGAAATCATTTTATAAAGACAAAAATTAAATTTTATATTTTTCCTATTTTGAGCGAACTTTTTTGGACTAAAGAAAATTTTTCAAATTTTTTAAAATATTTTTTCCAAAAACCTAAAGTGTTTTATACACAAATCATTTTAAATTTTCAAAATCCGCCAGAATTTAACAAAATTATAAGCAAAAATTTAAAATAACTTATAATTAATATCAATCATACGCACTGTAGCTCAGTTTTAATTAAAATCTCTTAATTTTTTCTAGTCATGGCTATCGCGGCATAGATGCCCGTCGCAATTTATGGGTTTTACCTTCAGGCGAACTTTTATATTATGTGGCCGCAGTGGCAGTTTTACTAGATCGTGACGAAGATGCCCAGCGCCATTATACCGGACATACAGAAGATATTATGTGGTAAGTGCTAAAACTAATTAAAAAAAATTAAAAATATTGAAATTTTCTTTCTCTTATTTCTCAGCATGGACGTTCATCCTTCCCGTGAACTGGTGGCATCGGGTCAAAAAGCCGGTCGAGATCGTAAATCGCAAGCTCATGTACGTATATGGAGTACAGAATCTTTGCAAACTTTATATGTTTTCGGAATGGGAGAGTTAGATACGGGAGTAACAGCAGTAGCCTTTTCGCAATTAGTAAGTATCAAACCACACATTTTAGAAACCAAAGAAATTAACTCCAAATTTCCTAAACAGAATGGAGGCAGTTATATTTTGGCAGTAGACAGTGGGCGTGAAAGTATACTCTCGGTATGGCAGTGGCAATGGGGACATCTATTGGGCAAAGTGGCGGTAGGTTTAAGTGAAAAAAGTTTAACTCTTCATTTCCCTAAATTTCTGTATTATTTCTACCTTTCTAGACCTTACAAGAGGGCCTTTCTGGTGCTGCCTTTCATCCTCTCGATGATAATCTTATAATTACTCATGGTCGCGGTCATTTGGCCTTCTGGCATCGTCGTAAAGATGGTTTCTTTGAACGTACCGATATTGTTAAGCAGCCCTCACGATCTCATGTCACTAGTGTACAATTTGAACCGGATGGTGATGTTATAACAGCAGACTCGGATGGTTTTATTACCATCTACTCGGTGGACTCGGATGGTGCCTATTTTGTGCGCACCGAATTTGAGGCTCATACCAAGGGTATTGGCTGTCTGATAATGCTGGGCGAGGGCACTTTGCTGTCGGGTGGTGAGAAGGATAGAAAGATAGCTGCCTGGGATTCTTTGCAGAATTATAAGAAAATAGCAGATACTAAGGTAGAAACAGTTTGAAGTTTTAAAAGCCTCTGCTTTAATATTTTCTTTTAGCTACCCGAATCCGCTGGCGGAGTACGCACTATATATCCCCAACGTCCTGGGCGCAATGATGGCAATATCTATGTGGGCACCACCCGCAATAACATTTTGGAGGGTTCTCTCCAAAGACGTTTTACACAAGTTGTTTTTGGTCATGGCCGCCAGCTGTGGGGTTTGGCTGCCCATCCCGAGGATGATTTATATGCTACCGCGGGTCATGATAAACATATTGCTCTGTGGCGCAAGAGTAAACTTATATGGACCATACAGACGGGCTATGAATGTGTCTCTTTGGCATTTCATCCCTTTGGTACGGCCCTGGCTGCTGGCAGCACTGAGGGTCATTTGTTAGTTATTAATTGTGAGAATGGCGCGGTGATGCTGACGCTGAGAGTGTGTGGTTCGCCTATTAATTGTGTGGCCTTTAATCAGGGTGAGTGGGATAAACTTAAAGTGGACTTGATTATAGTCCAAATTAGACTATGGAGACTCTGGAGTATAGACTAGACTATATACTAGACAAGACTATAGACTATGCTATAGACTAGACCAACGGTTCCCAAAAGGGGGTCCGCGGACCCCTAGTGGTCCGTAGCAAAATCCTAGGGGGTCCGCGAAGACGAACGAAAAAAATCATGAATAAAAAATATTCTCTATATGTTAGAAAATATTAAAAATATCTCCAATTTTTTCGTAAATACTAAAATACACAATTTTTATTCAATAATCCCAGATTTGTTGGTGACTTTTTGAATTTTATTGTTTCGGTCGTTTATCAGGATGAAGCTAGACCCTACAAATTTATTGTTTTACTTTTATAAAGTAAAGTAGTACGTGATTTGTAATTTTTATAAATGTATATGTATCGAAATAAATGTTTTTATCAGAGACAGAAAATAATTATTATCTATGAAATTTTTGCTTAAAAAAATCAGTATGAAAGAATCATAAGAAATGTTTTGAATGTACCAAAATATTTCCCAGACCTTTTTTAATCGATTTCTTCAATAAACTTTTTTTTTTTTGATTTTTATAATAAAAATTGAAAATAAAAATTATTTTTGATTTTTATTCTATTTGTTTCAATAAAAAAATATTTATGTTGTTTTTAATAATAAGTTGTGTTTTGTTGCTAACGTTCAAAGGCAATTTCATATAAATTTAAAATTTATAAACGTTAGGAGTTAACGTGTAAAATTATACAAGTTAATTTTAACGTCGATAAAAGTGCTACCAATTCAAAAATAAAAATACAAATATTAATGTGTTTATGTCAAACAATAAAAAAATATTTTAAAATAAAATTTAAATCAAAAAAAATATCAAATTAAAAAACCTTTTTTAAGAAAATGTAAATAATTTCAAGATTTAGCAGATTTCTTCTGTGGAGTGATGCCAAGTCAGGTAATGTTCGTTTTGTTGCTAACTTTAAGCGTTAACACTCATTGATAGCAACAAAACACAACTAATACTCATTCAGTAATTTTTATTTATTCAAACAAAAAATAGAAATCAATCAATGATTTTTATTTTTCAAAGCAAAGAATAAAATCACCTAAAAAATATTAATTTTCCAATTTTCGAATCTAATTTCTGCAAATTTGGTTGATGATATCAGTGGTAAAGAAATTTTACCAATTTTCTATTAATCTCTGTTTAAACCCGATCATTTTTAATGTGTTTTAAAGGTAAATATCGCATAATGAGTTTTATAATTAATTTCAAAAAATAAAAATCATTGCCTGATTTTTATTTGTGCCTTATGGTTTAAAAATTATTTGTGTTTTTTATTATTGATTTTTATTTGAAAAAGTTCTCAGTAATTTTTACGGAAAATATAAGAAATTCAAATCAAAAGCAATTTGGATTTTCTGAGAAATGAAATACAAACCAAATAAAATTTGTAATTTTAATTTTTTAAATAAAAATAATAACAATTACTGTCTCTGGTTTTTATATCAGACGGATAATGATTTGCCTTAGAATTAAATACTGATACTGGTATCCCGGAATATGAAGAAATGTGACCTTTTCATAATATTTTTTTTTAAATTGTAAGCAAAAGTGTTAATCTAGTTAATTTTAAATATAAATATTCCATTCCGACGTGATACACAGATTTTAACTTCATTTTGTTGTCCAATATTATTAAATCAACATCAGAAAATTCATTGCGTTTTGCGAAAATAGTCAAAACCACGCAGTGAAATAATTCGTAGGTATTTTAAAATTCAAATTTAAGATCCAAATTCACAGTACATTCGCAAAGAGTTCAGGTCATATTTTATGTGGGTAACGCATTCCGCAACAACATCGAAGAAGTCTAACTTTCACATATTTTCCCGAAAACTTAGCTTACATACTCAACTCACTCCTATGCAATCGCAAAAAATTTGGAAACATGACTCTTTAAGCACATGTCGGCAATACTTGATAAAGAAACCTTTTCGCTACCTTGACGAGAAATGAACATGAAAGCTCTCACGATCATAAAATTAAACATCGTGTTAGAAGTCATTTTATATTTAAAACCATGCAATTGAAAACATTTCCGAAATACTAAATATTCTCAATGAACGGGAATATTTTATAGGGTTTATGGACCAGGACTAAAACAATTTTCGGATGAACAATTATTTATAACAATAAGATATCAAAATATGTATGGGGGTCCGTGAAATTAAATAAATTCGTCAAGGGGTCCGCGAAGTAAAAAACGGTGGGAACCGCTGGACTAGACTATAGTCTAGACTGGACTAGACTATAGACTAGACTATAGACTAGACTATAGACTAGACTATAGACTAGACTATAGACTAGACTATAGACTAGACTATAGACTAGACTATAGACTAGACTATAGACTAGACTATAGACTAGACTATAGACTAGACTATAGACTAGACTATAGACTAGACTATAGACTAGACTATAGACTAGACTATAGACTAGACTATAGACTAGACTATAGACTAGACTATAGACTAGACTATAGACTAGACTATAGACTAGACTATAGACTAGACTATAGACTAGACTATAGACTAGACTATAGACTAGACTATAGACTAGACTATAGACTAGACTATAGACTAGACTAGACTAGACTAGACTACTATAGACTAGACTATAGACTAGACTATAGACTAGACTATAGACTAGACTATAGACTAGACTATAGACTAGACTATAGACTAGACTATAGACTAGACTATAGACTAGACTATAGACTAGACTATAGACTAGACTATAGACTAGACTATAGACTAGACTATAGACTAGACTATACTATAGACTAGACTATAGACTAGACTATAGACTAGACTATAGACTAGACTATAGACTAGACTATAGACTAGACTAGACTAGACTATAGACTAGACTATAGACTAGACTATAGACTAGACTATAGACTAGACTATAGACTAGACTATAGACTAGACTATAGACTAGACTATAGACTAGACTAGACTAGACTATAGACTAGACTATAGACTAGACTATTGACTAGACTATAGACTAGACTATAGACTAGACTATAGACTAGACTATAGACTAGACTATAGACTAGACTATAGACTAGTCTATTGACTACACTATAGACTAGACTATAGACATGACTAAACTATAGTTCAGACTATAAGTCAGGCTATATTCTGCACTATAGACTAAACTATAGTTCGCTCAACAGACTACACTCTTAGCCGTTTTAAATCATTTCTCTTTTTTTTTTCTTCTCCAGTTGGCGATATGATTGCCATGGGTTCCCAAAATGGCAGCATTTATTTATTCCGTGTTTCGCGCGATGGTTTCTCCTACAAAAAGGTCAACAAAATACGCGGTTCCCAACCACTCACCCATTTAGATTGGAGCATGGATGGCAATTTTGTACAGACAGTAACCATAGATTTTGATTTACTTTTCTGGGATGCCAAATCCCTTAGTCCCGAACGTAGTCCCATAGCGATGAAAGATGTCAAATGGTTGACAAGTAATTGTACGGTGGGCTTCCTAGTGGCCGGACAATGGAGTAATCGTTATTACAGTAATAGCAATACTATAATAGCCACCTGTAGTCGTTCGGCGGCACAGGATATGTTGGTTTCTGGCGATGCTGATGGTTATATACGTTTATTTAGGTAAGAAGGTTTTATGGTTATAGTACTGAACTATATAATGTTGTATTTTTTTCCTGTTTTAGATATCCTTGCATAAGTCCTCGTGCTGAATTCCACGAGGCCAAAGTCTATTCGGGCATGGTGGCCTGTGCTCGTTTCTTGTTTGGTGATCAAACTATTGTTACTGTGGGTGGCACCGATGCCTCTTTGATGGTTTGGGATTTGGTTGAAGAATAGCTGAAATGGCCACCATGGCGTACAACTGTACAGTATGAGTCCCGCTATTCCGACTACTGGCGTCGTCGCACCTCCAAACAATCCTCCACCAATTTGGATAGTGATTCTTTGGAATACCAGTAGTAGCCATAGCCCCACAGCAACAAGAAGAAAAACCTCGTATTGCATTTTTTTATTTAAAAACAACTAGACAAGAGGCTTTTTTAAAAGTAGTTTGAAATTTGACAAAAAAACAACTTCCAATTTATAAAAAAAAAAAACTATATTTTGGATAGAAAATTTTACAAAAAATAGATAAAAAGAAATTTTAAGAATTTTATGTTAATTATTGGTCTTCCTTTTTATTTTCTTACAAGTCAAAAAAAGGCTTCCAAATTCTCTAGCTTTTTTCTTTAGTTAAATTTACGTCTTTTCTTCTGATACTCTACTCCTCCTACTTTACAGACTATAAGCCACTGGTGGACTTAATCCTAACTTTATAAACTATCTTAAACTTACTCAGTAATAAATCTAAAAACTATTTTTTAGACATTTTTCATTTATACATTTTTCATTTTTCCCTTTTAGTTTTCGTTTCATTTGTTAAAACATAAAAACCAATAAAAATTAACAAAATGTCCATTTTAACATCAAATTTCAATATAGTTTTAAATAAAAACAAATTCCCATTAAAAATTGTAGTTGAAATAAAACAACAAAAACACAAAGTGCACTTAAATCATTGAATCCTTAAAAAAAAACATTAATAAAAAACTATTAATAACTTTTAAATTTAAGTAACAAATAAATAAACTAAAAACATGTTGGCATTGAAAAATTATATATTTACTTAAAAACCCCCCCAAATTAATTACAATTTAATAAAAATGAAACCAAAATAAATAATTGTTGAAAAATAATTAACAAGAGTTTTAATGAAAAAACTATTTTTTTCTGAAAAAAAAAATGGATTATCAAACGCTTATAAATAGTTCTAATAAAACGGTTATTCTTTCATTCTTATTGAACGGTAACTTAGTTTATTAAATAGGTAGTGCAGTCAGACATCATTTTGCACTGTTTTATCTCCCTTTCAACGGCATTATTAGCATGTGTGTTTATTATAGCGTTGCCAGTGTTATGATGAAATACTTGCGAATAAATTATTATCTGACACTGCTAAAACGGTACATGTTTCATTCATATTATACGGTAACAAAGTAATTATAGTTGATAGTGCAGTCAAACACATTTTGCACGGTATTATCTCATTTAAATTTTTATAGCGTTGCCATGTTATGGTGTGTGAGTAAGTTGTAACAAAATTATAAATGATAAAAATAGTACACATAACTAAATAATCATTTTAATTATTGTTAATAATAATATTAATATTATTTAATATAACTAAATAAACAAAGAAGTCCAAATAAACCAAACGATATAGAAACGAAATAAACTTCGAAAATTCAAAGTTATGTTCGGAAATGTTTTAAGTCTATTAAAAATAGTAGAAATATGAAGAAATAAGTAATCTTGAGAAATAATAGTCAAAAAAGCCGATACAAGCAAATTATTACAAACGTACTGATAAAATCATAATAACAAAAATCAGTCTAAGGGCCATTATTACGACTTTGCCTTTAATGTTCGTAATAATAAAAGGTAACTTTAATTAAAGTGAGGAATAAAGTGAACTTTAAATATTTTCATTGTTACAACATAATTTTTTAATATACAAAAACCGTAGCATACTTTTAGTCGTTAATAATATTTTTCATATGAAAAATTACATTGAATTTATTTTTTATTAATATTTTTAAAAAAATTATTAAGCTTTAATAGTTAAAGGTAACGTGATCTTCCTGTTAGCCTATCGGACACTTTTAGCTAAAGTTGACTTGTAATAACGAAAATTAAGAATTAAAATTTTTAAGAAAAAGTCAATTTTGTAAATAAAAGTCGATTTTGTAAATAAAAGTCGAAAAAGGTTTATAAGTTGAAATAAGACAAAGAGAGTGATGTCCAAAATAAGTAAAAAAGCAAATGTTGAAAATTGCAAATCTGTCTGTAAATCTACCTTTTGTAAACTGAAATACATATGTTGAATAGTCGAATTTTTGTAAATTTAATGTCGCAAAATCGACTTTTTGCTTCAACCAAGAACTCTACTTATACTTGACGATTTTGCATATAAATAATCTGGCAACTATATCTGTATATCTGTAAAGTCGCAGAATTTGTTTAGTTTTCTTCGTTCTCGTTCGCTTGATGACAGAAAAAACCGAGTTTTTGGGGAAGAAAAATATATAAGAGAAGAAAAAAAGAACAGAAAAAAATTGTGCAAAAAAACACAAATAAAACATACACGCTCATTTTGTCTGTGTTGTGCTTCATTCCTGTTTCAGTTTTTATCCGTGGAGGATGCCTTCTGCTTCAAATAATAACCAATCAAATACTAAACTAGTGAAACAAACCTCCGTGAATTCGGTTAATTCTGGAGGTGCAAGTGGAACTAGTGGTGGCGGTACTAAAGGTAGTAGCAAGAAAATAACGGAAAATACAACAAAATCCAACAACACCAATGCCACTACCAACAACAGCAACTCAACCACCAATAACAATGAGACATCATCATCATCCAGCATAAAAACGGCTAAAGAAAATACCAACAATGTGGTGGCTGCTGCTGCAGCGGCGAATAGCAAAAATTGGGAAACATCCTCGGCGGCTGGAAATGCTTCATCTACTACAGCTAATAAGGATGCTGGCAATGATGCCTTGAATCCCATGAAATTGACTTTTACCACAATTGAGCATAAAATACGCAATTTGGAAAAACGCAAGGTAAGTGTGTGTGTGTGTGTGCAAATTGTAAACGTGAAAAAAGTGAAGTTTTTTTTACATTAAAGTTTCAAAAACTTAAGTTAAAACTCAAGGTGATCTAGAATTATTAAAGAAAATTTGTTACAATTGTGTAGTAAATCGGAATATTTAAAGAGTATTTTAAGGTTTTTCAATTCTCCCTGGTAGGCCCTTTCTGTTAATTTAGCTAGAAAAAAGTATCTTGGGCTCATGGCGTCTAACCGGCATTTTTTGCCTTCATTTGTGGAGCTTTTTTTAAATAAAATAAATACAATTTTGGGAAAATAGCTAGTTTTCTAAATTAGTCAAGGTTTTTATGTAAAATTTTCTTTTAAAATTAGGACAAAGGATTTGATTTTTTTCTTTGTCCCATTTTTCCACCATTTTTTCATATATTGCGTTTTGTTGTAATTCGTAGTGCAGATTTTTTTTGTTTCTCATTTTTTGCGACGCCATGTTTAGTAAAATTTAACAGAGCTGCCACATTATAAATAGAATAAGGTGGAAAAAAAGAAAACATGAAAAAGAATTAAACGATTATTTATGTTTTTATTTAGTTCTTTTATCTCTTATCAGATTTTTATATTATTTTTAAATATTAATTATGAGTAATTAATTGTATTTAAGTGCTTCTTTTCAATGTGATTCATTTTTTTGCAATTGTTTATTCTGGGAAACCCTCTTTTTTTGTTGCTCTGTTTTTATTTTTTCTCATTGACCTGATTTTTTTGTTTTTGTCTTTACAGTGTTCATTATTTTAGTATTTTTTTATGTTATGAAAAATTTAGTAGTTTATAGAGTTGTATTTTTAAAATTTTTTATAATTTCCAGACAAAATTGGAAGGTTATCGCGCCATACAGGCTTCTGGCAAAGAATTAAGTTCCGACCAAAAGGCTGCAGTGGCTAAATATGATGCTGTCATGGCAACTTTGGAATTTGCCCGGGATTTGGTTAAACAAATGCAGCAATTCACCAAAGATGCCGAAAAAGAGCAGAAGAAACAGGCTCGCAAGGTAAGTCAACAAAAATATTGCTAATTAAAGAACCTATTAAATAATATAAACACTGTTTATAGGAATTAATTGCCAAAGCCCAGGCTGAGACCATTAAAATACGTGAAGTCTTAATAATACAAAATATTTTGTCTTGTTTCACGGATGAAGCGGTACGCAATGATTTCTTGTCTGGCGAGAATGGCGCTGCCAAATTGGAGCCCAATGAATTGGATATTATAGAAAAATTGTAACGTTTTTTTTTGTGATTATAAATAGTATAGAAATATTCAAATGTTATTTTTTTATAGCTGTTTGGATGTCCAAACCAGACGCCCGGAAACCTCAGAGGATGTTCCTTTCGCCACTTCAGCTCAAAAGGCCGCCGAAATCTTTTCCATGACCATAGATGCTCGCCCCAAACAGTATGGTGAGACCACCTATGAAAGTGTTAAGCGTATTTTCCATCGTATACAAGAATCTGACTATTTGGATAAAATCTATTTAACGGATGTACCCGAACCAGAGTTAAAAACTTTGGACGATGATTTGGAGCCAGAAGTAAACGTAAATAATGAGGAAGTAACTGAAATGATAACACAAGAACAGGATTTAAATGCTTTAGAAGAGGGTATGGATACCATGAATCTGGAGGGCGGTAATATGACTCAATCGAGTCATGAGGCGCCCATAGTGGATAATGTTGGACTTATCCCTCAACAGCAGCAGGGTTTTAATAAAGAACACTTGGATTTACAGCAACAACAAGTGGCTTTGGCAAATATGCCTCCTCAGGCAGTCGCAGCCCCCTTAATGAATGCCCCCATGGCTCCACCAGCCACGGCAGTGCCCTCATTCCAACCGGCTGTAGCCACAGCACATTCGGGTAACACTACACCCGTACATGTGGCCATGTATCATCCCTCTATGGCACAGCCCACACCCCAACAACTACAACAAATGCCAAATGCAGCCGCTTTAATGGGCGCGGTACCCACTAACGCTGCCGGGCAATTGATGACAGGTTTGGCAGGTCAACAACAAGCAGGAGTGGCAGGCGTTAATGCTGCACAAGCCAATCAACAGCAGCAACAGCGACAAATGCTTAACAGTCCTGCTGGCCAACCCTTAAACATGCATAATGCCAATCCCCAACAACAAGCTCCTCCTCCGGGTCATTTTAATCCCACTCCCGTACACGCAGTAGAGCAGAATTTCTTTAAACATCCACCTACTCATCATCAACAGCAGCAGCAGCAACAGCCACCTCAACCGCAACAACAACCACAGCAACAGTATTTGCAACAAATGAGACCCTTGGCCGAAGTTATTGGTAGTGGTAACTTCTATTTCCTGCAGGACAGTGAACTAGACTCTCCCGATCTAAATAATCAAGGCGTACAAGGTGTTCCCCAAAACACTATAGTATTCGAACAGCAACAACAGCAGCCTCTTCAACAAAATAAAACTACGCAAAATTTATTAACAGAGCAACAACAAACTGCAAATACACCAAATCAGCAGCAACAACAACAATTACAACAGCAACTTAACCAGCAACTTCCTCCTACACAGCAAAACCAACAACAAACTGCTACACAAACTCCCATACAAACTCAAACATTCACAAATCAATCATTCCCACAAATGCCACCACCACAACAGCAGCAACAACAGGCTAACCCAAATGCTAATCTCTTGCAAAGTCAAACCCCCAGTCCTTTATTCCAGCAGCAGCAACAAAAGGGCAACCAACAACAATTGTTTTCACCGGTACAAACACAACAACAACAACTGGCCACACCTCAGCAACAGCAACAATTAATGGCTGAAGCTTTACAGCAACAGCAGCCTCCTAATTCCTTAATGATGATGAATCGTTTGGCTAACGCTAATGCTCCCTCTACCCCCTTAATGCAACAACAACAACAGGGACTTTTGCAGCAGCAGCAACAACAACAATTAACACCACAAAATCAAAATTTGGTGGGAAACATGCAGCAGCAACCGCAGCAACAACAATTACCACCTAATAACTCCACAACAGATATGAGTCAAACTCCTAAAAATGCCGGTTTTCCTTTTGAAAATCCCGTGGTAGCCGGTCTCAGCTATGAACAACAAATGCAAAATAAACTCAATGCCGAAAAAGTATTGAATGCATTGCAAGAAGCCAATGCTAATAACAACACTCATCACTTACACAAAAACGATTTGATAAATGAATGGGATGAGTCGGTATTAAAGGCCTCGAGTGGCACTTCTGCGGCAAACAATACGCAACAGGATTTTAAAGCCACAACTGTGGAAGCATCCTCTAATAAATGGAGTGCCGAGGTAAATGCCAATTCGCCCATAACGGTGCAGCAAACACAAACACGTAAAAATGAATGGACTGCCACGGCCAACAACAGCAGCAATAATGCCAACGCCAATAGCAATTCAGCGGATGCCAATGCAGGTGGTTATGTCAACGATAATCGCTCTGAAACGAATCACTGGCATTCACAGGATTCTGGCAGTTATGGCAGAGGTTCTTCGAGCGGCAATCGTGGCCAGGGAGGAGGTGCTAACTCGGGCGGATATCAAAGACAGCGCAATGATGACAGACGGGATGATAGACGTCCAGGAGGAGGCAGTGGTGGTTATAGGGGACGCTCTAATTATGGCTCAGGCAATCCCCCACAAAACGGCCAAACACGCGGCAGTGGTGGTGGAGGCGGCAATTCTAGTGGTATTTATTTCCGCAATAATGAAAATGCCAGCAGCAACTCTTACTACCAAAATGGCAGTGGTGGGGGCGGCGGCGGCGCAGGCAGCAATGTGTATTCTAACAAAGATTCACGTTATGACTCCCGCAGCGGTGGAGGTGGCAATTATAGGGGACCACGCGGCTCCGACAACAACTCTGCCAACTCCCGCAGCAATGGTCCACCACCACGTCACATGGGCAATCGTTCCACTGGCGGCGGCAACTCCAATGCAAACACAAACTCGAATTCTTATATGAACTCACGGCAGTCATCTAATCGTATGCCACTGGGTATAGAAAATAAAAACTAAAACTCCCTGGGAAAGAGAAACAAAACGGCAGAAACTCTCCCTTTAAAAATTAACTACAAATTAAAGCCCCACACACACAAAAAATACATTACAAAGTATAAATTATGTAGAATTAAACAAAAAGAAGAATTTTTAATTATAAAAATTCATTATTATTTAGAGCAAACAACAAACAAACAAGTAGTGTAACCAAAAAACAAAAATATTTACGCGCCCCCTCCTCCCCCTCTCACACACAAACTACTTACTTACCAATACCTGGTGTTCATACTACCAGGAGTTTATAAAATTCTACTCTTAAAAAAGGAAACTTTAAAAAGTAATCCTACTTCTTAAATATATTGAAGCAGAAGGCAGAAAAACCTCTTTTATTTTTTTCAAACACTTGATTAATTAACAACAACAACAAAAAAACAACAACAATTTATGTATTTAATCTTTAAAAAGAACATATGAATAATTATTTAACTTTAAAGAATATTATTATTTAACATACAACAAAAACAAATGATATACTTATATATTTAAACAAAAAAAACATACAAATATTTAAAATAAATACAATATACCTTTAAACAACAACCACAAGAAGAAAATAAATCATACAAACGTAAAAGAATCAAGATGAATATGAATGTTTAAAGAGAGCAGCAGAGAAAGGAATGAAAAAATAAATATATTATTAATTAATTTCATTATAAAAGAAAATTACAGCAACAAAAAAAGATAAAAGAAGATGAAAAAAGAAAAAACAAGGAAATATACTTATTTATGTTCATTTTATTAATATAATTTTTAATAAATTTAAAAAATCTACATAAAAAATTGAAAATTACATAAAGAAGTAGTTTGAAATTTAATTGGAAGATTTTAAGGGATTTTAATTTAGTGCTACTAAGAGTATAAACTCACTTTATATTGGACGTAGGGAGCTATATGATAGCTTATAGGAAACGCAATATTCCATTTTATATATGTGCCGAATTTTATTCGAAAAAATCTTAAAAACCATCGAAATATTGAACAAAATCGAAAAACGATTTTTAGACACAACTGGCAGTTGTTGGTTATGTGCAACTAAAATTTGAAACCTTATAACTTCAAAACTATTTGGTGTATTGAGGTGAAAGTTGTAGCAAATGAAAGTTTAGGATTTCAGCTATCAGAAGCTCATCTCATTTTTTCAAAAAGTTAATACAAAGTTGTCTAAACTAGCTATGATAAGTTAACGCCCATTTTTCCTATGACAATTGGGCGTGGCAATTTTTAATTTTTAGCAAAATCTTCCCCATTTCATTCTTTAACTACATGCCAAATTTCATTAAATTATCTTGAAGGACAACCGAGTTATTAAGCAAAATCCAAAAGAGTCTTTGGCACCCAAAAAGTGAAAAATAAAATTGTCAATTTTTTTGGTAAAACACCAAGTCACCAGAACCTGGTAGTAGGTGGATTCCCGCACAGCATTTTCTTTAACTTGATATAACTCGAAAACCACTTGATGTTTTGGAATGAATGTTTTACCATATGATAGGTAGGAAACTTGGCTACAAGAAGGGCAACCTTTGGCCCGCCTGGTGTTTGGCCAGACCGGCTAAAAAGTGGAATTTATAGTTAAGACTTGTATATCTCAGCTCGTAATGGACGTAGGAGGTTAAATGATAGCTTATAGGAATCACAATATTCCATTTTATAAATGTGTTCAATTTTATTTAAAAATTCTTAAAAACCGCCGAATTATAGAACAAATTCGAAAAAATATTTGCGGACATATTTGCTAGATTTTGGTATTGTTTGACAAAAGTTTGGAACCTTATAACTCAAGAAGCATTTAGGGTATTGCAAAGAAAGTTATATCAAACGAAAGGTTAGAATTTCAGCTATAAGATTAGTGTATTTGTTTTGTCAAAAAATAAGTAGAAGTTGTCGAAAATACCCATTATATACTTAAGCACATTTTTCACATATATCTCACTTTATAATGGACTTAGAGTGTTACGTGATAACTTATAAGATTCATAATATTTTAATTTACTAATATGCCAAATTTCATTTAAAAATTCTTAATGATCATAGAAATATTAAACATATTCCAAAAAAGATAGGTAGACTTATCTGAAAGTTTTTGTTTTTCTTCATCCAAAGTTTGAAACCTTATAACTCGAGAAATGTTTGATATATGGTGAAGAAAGTAATATCAATGAAAGGTTAGGATTTCAGCTATTACACTGGTGAACATATTCTGCCGAAAATTAAGTCGAAGTTATCGAAAATAGCAAATATATGTTTACGCCCATTTTCAACTCGAATAGTGGGCGTGGCGACTTTTTATTTTTTTGAAGAATATTCACCATTTCTTTCTTTACCCACATACCAAATTTCATCAAATTATGTTGAAAAACAAATCAGTTATTAAAGAAAATCTAAGAGTATTTTTTGATCCAAACTGATTTTGTTTTGCTATGTTCGATCAAAGTTTGAAAGTCTCTATCTCGAAAATTGTGTGAGTTATAGTCGAAAAAGTTATACCAAATGAAAGGTCAAGATTTCAACTACAATATGGATTCATTATATTTTTCGAAAAACAATTCAATATGGTCAAATATATAAGCAAAATGTTTACGCCCATTTTTAATCCGAAAAGTAGGCGTGGCAGTTTTTATTTTTTACGAAAGATTCCTCATTTCATTCTTTAACTACATGCCAAATTTCATTAAATTATCTTGAAGGACAACCGAGTTATTAAGCAAAATTCAAAAGAGTATTTGGCACCCAAAAAGTGAAAAATAAAATTGCCAATTTTTTTTGTAAAACACCAAGTCACCAGAACCTGGTAGTAGGTGGATTCCCGCACAGCATTTTCTTTAACTTGATATAACTCGAAAACCACTTGATGTTTTGAAATGAATGTTGCACCATATGATAGGTGGGAAACTTGGCTACAAGATGGGCAACCTTTGGCCCGCCTGGCGTTTGGCCAGACCGGCTAAAAAGTGGAATTTATAGTTAAGACGTGTATATCTCAGTTCGTAATGGACGTAGGAGGTTAATTGATAGCTTATAGGAATCACAATATTCCATTTTATAAGAGTGTTCAATTTTATGTAAAAATTCTTAGAAACTGTCGAAATATTGAATAAAATCTAAAAACTATTTTAAGACACAAATAGCAGTTTTTGGTATTGTTTGATTAAAGTTTGGAACTTATAACTCAACAACCCTTCAGTGTAATGGGGTGAAAGTTAGATCAAATGAAAGGTAAGGATTTTAGCTATTAGATTGGCAACCTTTGGCCCGCCAGACATTTCGGAAAAATAGCTAAAATGTGGAATTTACATTTATGATTACATTTCTCGCTTCATAATGGCCGTAGGAAGTTATATATTGTCTTATAGGAATCGCAATATTCCATTTTATAAATATGACAATTTTTATTGAAAAATTCTTTAAAACCATTAATATTTCAATGGTTTTAAAGAATTTTCACAAAATCGAAAACGTTTACAGACACAACTAACAGTTTTGTTATTGTTCGATCTACATTTGGAACCTTATAACTTGAGAACTATTCACTGTATTGTGATGCAAGTTATATCAAATGAGAGCTTAGGGTTTTCAGCTATTAGATCAGGCAAACTTTGGCCCGCCAGTTATTTTATCAAAACGACTAAATGACAAACATTTTGAACTTTATAACACTAGAAATATTTAAAGAATTGCGAAGTTACGATTTTAGTTACTATGTATATTGATAATATTGTTGTGTTAATTATTAAATCTACTTTTTTAATTTTAGTTAGTTTCTTGTTTTATTTTAATTAGTTTTGTTTTTTTTAAACACTTAAAATCTATATAATACATGTTTTTGTCAAAAAATGAACAATTTTGTTTGATTCTTTAAATTCTTATTTACAGCCATTCGTGATCCTTATTCTTGTCTTGGAAACTGCCAGAGTTGGCTTTGAGAAACAGTTTTGAAGTAGTATTATCTGTAAATTAAAAACAAATATGAATTTTAATGAAACTTTATATTTTTTCGTGTAGAAATTTTTTAAAATTTTTAATTACTATTTTCAATTCTCATATTTACCTTTCTTTTTTCTTTCGTTTTTTGTACTTGTGTATCAGCACATAAGAACCACAAGCCTAAGACTATAAAAGTGGAACCCAGTATGGAATAAATGCTAAAGTGTTCCTTAAAAACCAAAGAACCTAAAATGAACTAAAGATATTCACTATGTTTAGCAATTTACTCACTACTGTTGTTAAATTATAGATAACGAAACTCAGAAAAGCCAATACAAGTCAGACTACAGTAATTTAGTATATAGATTTGACTATAATATATAGCATTGACTACCAACCAGTCTGGTTTCGGGCATATTAGTTTATAACTTATTAAAACTTACCGATACTATGTAATTACTGGCCGCTGTTAAAACAGTCGCAGTCAAGGTTTGCTCCGTTAATTGGAGAGCTTTCAGAAAGTAACGCCAATTTAATAGATTGCTAAAAACCATTAAAACTAAAGGCACGGCTTGATACAGAGCAAATTCTAAAGGAAAAATACAAAAAATTAAAGTTAATAAACAACTAATATAAACTGTTAACAAGTTTAATAGCAAATTAATAAAAAGCAAACTATTTTATTTTACGAAAAACAAGCCCCTTTTTTACTTTAATAAGATTGCAAATTGATGAATAGGTTGTAGCAATATTACCAAAAATATATTAAAAAATTTTATTAAATTTAAACCCACCTCCATATATTTTGCCAGGACTCTGCTAAAATGGGCAAGTTCTCCCCAAAACTCTGTTATCTTTAAGTAAACTGGGTAATTTGCCAAAGAAACTACCACCGGCCGCACACAAGCCGGCCAGAAAACAAAAACGATATTTTTCTAATGAGTACATACTAATAGAAGATTTTTATGATTATAATAATGTTACTAATAAATTAAACTTAAATATTTTACTTTATTTTATTACAAAATTTTCATTTTTATTGTAAAAAATATAAAAGAAAATAATTTTTATCACAAATTTCTTAGGTTTTGAGTTTTTGTAATGTAAACAAACGCCAGCTGTTTTGTTTCTATTTTTATGACAGTTGGCAACGTATTAAGCAGCATTGTATTAAAAGGTAGTATTTTTTAATGAACCGTTATATTTGCTCTTTTTCTGCTTTTTTAAATTAATAATTAAGCAGATTTTTTTGCAAATTAAGCTTTTTTAACAAAGAAAATCTTTGATAAAAACTTTTATATACAAATATTATACAATTTTTTTCCGCAAAAAGCTGTTATATGTACTCAGTTTTTAAAAATTTGTTTTTACACAAGGATTTCTTTAAAATCCGTGCCTAAAATCAAAATTTTTTAACAAAAACTTCATTGAGAAAACTGTTATACTACAAAATTTCTCTAAAAATTTTTGATATACATGTAATTATTTTGAAGAAAACTTTTTACATACAATTTTTTGATTACTATTATACATTGAATCTAGAAACTGTTATACGTATAATACAATTCTTTGAAAATCTGTTATACAAACAATATGCATCAAAAATACTACTATACAACAAATATTCTTAAAAAAACTCAATATTTTTGAAGAAAACTTTTAAATTAAAAAAATAATATTTGTAACAAAACTATTATACCGAAATTGTCCTCTAATTTTATACAATAACCCTCTATAAAAAATATTACAAATTTTTACTTGGTAAAACAAAAACTAATATAATATTTAACAAGTTTTTTATATATTTACAAACCTTTTGCCTTTTGTTAAATAATTATTTATTAAAATTAAACAAATATTTTTAATATTTTGTAAAATGTTTTTTTTTGCTATATTTTATATATGTATAATATTTCCATTTCTCCTTAATTTTGCATATTATTACAATTTATATATAATATTGATTTTCTTCATTAATTTTAATTAACAATTGTTTTTTATGATTTTTTTTTTTTTTTTTTTTTTTTTTTGATTTTCATTTAGTTTTATTAAATTATTTTTTTAATAATATTTTAATTTTTTAATAATGAATAGTTTTATTTTTTTAGACTTATAGTTTTGATTTGATTTAGAGTTTTTTTTTTTTTTTTTTTTATCTATCTAAAGTTTTTTTTGCTATTTTTATTAAATAACAGAAAACATGGTTTTCTTTATTTTTTTTAACTAAAATTAGTTAATTTTTAAGTTAAATGCTAATACTAAATAAACATATAATGTTATAAAACTAAACAAATAATTATATTAATAAAGGAAGCATATAAATTGTTTTAATTATAATACATTTGTTTTAATTAAAATAATATTTATTTTTTTAGGTTATAAGAAAGTTTTTTTCTTTAGGAATTAAAGGCCACATTGTTTAAAAGGAAATTAGTTTTGAACCCTTATTTTTACTCTTTATACAGTTAAAGGATTTTAATTATAATTTTTAATTTTCTTTAATATATAACACAAAATTTACAGTTTATTTTTTTAATTTACTTACAAAAATAATAAAACAATATTTAAGTTTTTTTATGATGTTAATAATAATACTTTGTTATACATTTATAAACAATTAAAGAAAAATACTTGGCTTGTAAAGTTTTTTTTTTTTTTTTTTATATAAAAAAGATATTGCTCTACTTTTTAATTTTATTTGCTGTTGATTTGTATTTTATTTTTTTAAGGAATTTTTAGTTTTTTAATTTAAAACAACTTTAAGTTGTTTTTTTAAACAATTTATAATTGATTTTTTGTTGTATGGTAAGTTTGTGGTGGATTTTTAACAAAATAGTTTAAATAAACTTTTAAGAATTACATTTTAATTTCTCATTCTAAAATCGGAAAACTTTTTTAGAATTTAGAAAATTTGTCTACAAAACTAGAATATACTTTTTACAAAAAATTTCTTTGATATATTTGTCTGTAAAGTAGTGACATTTTGTATAGAACATTTCTGTGTAAAACAGTGATAATTTCTATAAAAAATTTATCTATAAAACAATGACATTTTGTTTAGAAATCATTGATATTTCCTTTAGTAAATTTCTCTGTAAGACAATGTTATTTGCTATAGAAAATTTCTCTGTAAAACAATGACATTTTCTATAGAAAATTTCTTTGTAAAACAGTGACTTTTTTTAGAAAATATATCTGTAAAATTTTCATTTGAAAATTTCCTTGTAAAAAGAATTAACTTTACTTTAATTAAGTTAATTTATAGAAAATTTTCTAATTTTTAGTTTAATTTTATAAATTTTTGTAAAAGTAAATCCTTTTTTATTTAAACATAACAACCATAACCTTATTTAGTATGATTTATGCCTTTTTTAACATATGTGCTGTTAAAAACATTTACTAAACAGTTGGCAACTTTGTAAGGTGTATAAAACAAAATGTAAATAAACGCCATGTTTGTGTTGGCAACATTAATCTATGTTTTGTTTACTCCAAAACATTCTGTAGCCATGTGGCAACCTTGAGAGAGCAAATTTATAATGTAAACAAACAGGCTCGTTTGTTTACAAGTGTCCTTACTAAGTTGTCAAACGGTTAAGGTTTAAGGTGCATGTCTAGGCTTAAAATAAACTAGATATTGTAAGGTTTGTTATAATTTAAACAAAATTAAGAAAATTAACTAGAATTTGTACAAAATCAAAAACTAAGGCATAAACATAAACACTGTTTACTGCTTTAAACTCGCCCATAAACAAAACCTTGTAAATTCACCCTTTTTTGGGTAATAAATAAACTTAATTAAAGGTAATAATTTCTTAATTTCAGTTGTATGTGTTTGTGGTTAGAGTGTCAGTATTATAGCTTTGCTGTATGTGTTAGTTCTGGTAAGAATTGTGGCAAAAATTTACAAAAATAATTTGTTTTGGTTTATTTCTTATTTACTTTATAATATGTATAACCAAAAAGGGGGGGTAAAGAAATATATTACAATTTTCTAAAGCATACTTTTCAACGCTCTCTAGAGAGTATTTGAAACAAACAAAACGAGAAAAAATACAAATTTTATAATAAAGCCTTAATAACTTTGATGTTATTCTTTAATTAAAATTTTATAGAAGAAAGCAAATTGTAATAAATTTATA